AAGCTGCTCTGTTGCATCAGGAAGGCCAAACTGTTTTACTTAATCAGTAAACAGGGGTTCAAGCGATATCTGAAAGCTCATATTTAGTTCCCTCTGAAACACCTGGAGAATATAATTCTCACAGAGCCACAGCCTAAAAAGGCTAAGCTGCTCTGTTGCATCAGGAAGGCCAAGCATGCTAAACAGGGGTTCAAACAATATCTCAGTGAAAGCTCATTTTTAGTTCCCTCTGAAACACCTGCAGAATTAAAATTCTTACAGAGCCACAGCCTAAAAAGGCTAAGCTGTTCTGTTGCACCAGGAAGGTCAAACTGTATTACTGAATGCTGGACATGTACTATCATCAATGTTTCCTTTAGGAATAGTTTTGTTTGTAAAATTAAAGGCTGGTCATCACCATCTTCTCTCAACAACACTAAAATGCATTCAAGGAAGTTCTTAACAATTATACCATCTATTATTGATCACAACTTATGAATAACTTCAAGTACCTTTAAATCATGGCATAAGAAAAACAAAATCGATTTCAATTAAAGCACAAATTCTCATAATTAAGCTTAAAAAAAAAAACAACAAATACTGAGGCATTTCAAATTGAGATTCGAGTCACTGCAAAAACACAAACAAGATAGTCTAAACATCAAACCTAAAACTCACAACCACCTGAGTTTGACCAAAGCTCAAAAGTGCAATTAATTTCTTTACTAAACATCTCTGATTCATGTGGTTACACTCCTCTTACCCTTAAAAACAATTAACTTCACAGATTTAATCAGTTTAAAATTAAATAAAAGCGGCTTTAATTTGTAAATCAATTTTCTGGTTTATGAAATTTTACCCACTTTTACAGACAGTTGATAGCCACTGGCTTTGGCAAAACAGGGGCACCCAACGAGAATATGGTTCAAAACCACTTAAACATAGCAGTGTTGAACGTATTTTCGTATTTAAACGGCAGTTATAGGCATATTTTTATCCCCTAAAAATTTTTCATCTGTTCGGATTGCCTACCTGAAAGTCTAGTGACCCGAAACTTATAGGGATCAAAACTTACCTTTTCGAAAATTTCAGCAAGAAAAAAGGCTCCCGAAAATTCTAGGTGACCTTTTTATGGTAAAAATCCGTTAAAAATGGGCAATTATACCATTTTTAGATGTTCGAAAATCCTTGGAGAGGCAGGCAAGCAAGAAATTTTACAACAAATATTCCGAAAATTCTAGATCTCAAATCGTCTTCCGAAAATCGACGTTGGGTGCTGCTAGGGGCACCCAACGACGGTTTCTGTGAAATGCATTGAAAACACTTTTTAGGCCACCTAGAGTACTTTTCGATCTCTAGAAATGCATTTTAAGCGGCGCTATAAAATTTGTATCTGTTCGGTAAACCTACTGGGCAACTTGAGTCTTTTCGAAATTGCTAGGGCTTCAGTAACATTTTCCCAAAAATTTTAGATACAATTAAAATTTTACGAAACTGGAGAATTTTTCTGATTCCTCTATAGCTTTCCATCACATTTTCGAATCCGAAAATTTTAGGATTCCTTTTTCTGTGATATATAGCTCAACCTGGAGAGTGAAATGTAAAAACTTAAACTTAAGAAAATCGTAGGGAATTTATTAGATGTAAGCTTCGAAAATTGTACACGAATGAAACGTTCATCTAGAAATTTTTAGCCTTCTTCAAGCTGTAGAAAATTCTAGGCAATTATTGCTTCTTCGAAAAGATATTTTACAGAAAACAGTCGTTGGGTGCCCCTGAGTTGTCGGGTACTATACTATTGATCAATGTAAACTCGGCTTGTATAATCTACAATTGTGCGTATTTACATTCAGTTGTGCCTAAAATGGATCAGTTGAATGATCGATCAGTTCTGCAGATTTTGATTCAGATTAGGTTGTGTGTATTTTCATTCAGTTATGACTGAAATCGATCCGTTGTTATATGATCAATCAGTAGTGCGCATTTTCATTCAGTTGTGACTAAAATCGATCAGTTGTTACATGATCGATCAGTTGTGTCTATTTTCATTCAGTTGTGACTAAAATCGATCAGTTGTTATATGACCGATCAGTGGTGCTTATTTTCATTCAGTTGGAGACTAAAATCGATGAGTTGTTACGTGATCGATCAGCTGTTGTGCGTATTTTCATTCAGATGTGACTAAACTGATCGATTAGTTGTGTGTATTTTCATTCAGTTGTGACTAAAATGGATCAGTTGTTATATGATCGATCAGTTGTGCTTATTTTCATTCAGTTGAGAATAAAATCGATCAGTTGTTACATGATCGATCAGTTGTGTCAATTTTCATTCAGTTGTGACTAAACTGATCGATCAGTTGTGTCTATTTTCATTCAGTTGGAGACTAAAATCGGTCAGTTGCTATATGATCGATTAGTTGTGTGTATTTTCATTCAGTTGTGACTAAAATCGATCAGTTCTTATATGATCAATCAGTAGTGCGCATTTTCATTCAGTTGTGACTAAAATCGATGAGTTGTTACATGATCGATCAGTTGTGTCTATTTTCATTCAGTTGTGACTAAAATCGATCAGTTGTTATATGATCGATCAGTTGTGCTTATTTTCATTCAGTTGGAGACTAAAATCGATGAGTTGTTATGAGATCGATCAGCTGTTGTGCGTATTTTCATTCAGTTGTGAATAAACTGATCGATCAGTTGTGTCTATTTTCATTCAGTTGTGACTAAAATGGATCAGTTGTTATATGATCGATCAGTTGTGCTTATTTTCATTCAGTTGAGACTAAAATCGATCAGTTGTTCCATGACCGATCAGTTGTGCGTATTTTCATTCAGTTGAGACTAAAATCGATCAGTTGTTACATGATCGATCAGTTGTGTCTATTTTCATTCAGTTGTGACTAAACTGATCGATCAGTTGTGACTAAGCTTGACTAAAATGGATCAGTTGTTATATGATCGATCAGTTGTGCTTATTTTCATTCAGTTGAGACTAAAATCGATCAGTTGTTATATGACGGCCGGATCAGTTGTGCGTATTTTCATCCAGTTGTGACTAAAATGGATCAGTTGTTATATGATCGATCAGTAGTGCTTATTTTCATTCAGTTGAGACTAAAATCGATCAGTTGTTATATGACCGCCGGATCAGTTGTGCGTATTTTCATTCAGTTGAGACTAAAATCGATCAGTTATGTGATCGATCAGTTGTACATAGTTTCACTCAGTCAGAGTTGTGACTAAAATCGATCAGTTGTGCGTATTTTCATTCACCTGTGACTAAAATCGATCAGTCGTAGTATGATCGATCGGTAGTGCGTATTTTCATTCAGTTGTGAGTAAAATCGATCATTTATTTTCCTTGTAAAATGTTTACCCACTGCAGCCTGCCCGCGTCTCGGTTGCCTTCGTCGAAGACGTTCTAAACCTTCTGTATAGACACAAAATTATTGCAATTAGGTGTAGCAAACTAAATTTCAAAGCAAGCCTTCCGTAGGTACCAGGGGCACCCAGTGAGTGTTTTCTATAAAATATCTGTTCGGAGAAGCAAAAATTGCCTAGAGTTTTTCTATAGCTCGAAGACTGCTAAAAATTTCTAGGTGACCGTTTCAGGCATTTACGTACAATTTTCGTAGCTTATCTCTAAGATTTTCAGAAGTTTAAGTTTATGCATTTCAGCCCCGAATATAAGCTGTTTTTCGTAGAAAAAAGAAAACTAAAAATTTTCGGATTCGAAGAGGAATTACAAATATTCTCATTTTCACAAAACTGTAAATTGCATCTAAAATTTCGGGAAAGTAATACTGTTAGCCTTTGTAATTTCGAAAAGGTTTAAGTTGTGCTAGGATGACCGAACAGATACCGCCCGCGCACAAACTGAATATATGTTTAAATTTTCAGACATGGTGGAGTATTAAAACAATGAGCTCTACTGCGCAGTTCTAGTCTGAGCACTATCCCGTACATAAATGGCACGCGTCAAACTACAGATTTGTGTGTCAGTGTGGACATGATATTTACACACTGTTATAGTCAGGTTGGCCTTGGAGAATTAAGATGACTTTCATGAATAGTACAAATATATGTTTACATTTGCAGACACCGGGCGGAGCATTAAAACAATGAGCGCTACTACGCAGTTATAATCTGCGCACTATCCCATACTTTTCATAAATGACACGCGCGAAACTACAGATTTGTGTGTCAGTGTGGACATAACATTTGCACACTGTTATAATAGTTGGCCTTGTAAAATTAAGGTGACATTAAGGAATAGTACATTCCAATGGAATGTCAGTATCCCGCCAAATCGTATATCGTTTGCGAAGGGTTAAAAGGAAGTGGATTGATTTCATAGTTAAATGTAACAAGTCGGACAGATCACAGATGTCTTCAAGTTCTTCCCTTTTGTCTCGGCTATAGTTGGGTCAAAGTTATTATTCTGCACACCTTCCCTATACATAGAGGATATTACACGGTGGCGAGAAGATATGAATTTTATGTTTGAGTGGCAAGAACAATATCTCACGAGTGAGCGAAGCGAACGAGTGAGATATTGTTCTTGCCACGAGAACATAAAATTCATATCTTCGAGCCAACGTGTAATGTTCTTTTTATTATATGGAGAAACCAATTCAACAAAAGCAAAAGGCGGGAATCGTGACGTCATTGAACGATACGACACTCACAAAGGTGACATACGGAAAATACGCCACTCGGGTCCCGGATGAAGTGGCGTATGGAATCTACGAGTGGTTTAGTTCCCAGTAAAACGCTCTCCTCCATAAATAAATGAATACATCCACCGGATAAATCTCTATCCACTGGATAGCGCAGTTCGTTTCACTTATACTTATCCACTGGATAGTGATTTCTCCGGTGGGTTGCGCTATTCACCTTTTGAACAACTGGGTCCAGAACATGATTTCATCCATTAGACTTAAGAAAAATTCATGGCAAAAACTCTTGAGTAATCTTTGTTTCTATATTTCTTCAAGTTCGACTAAAGAAAGAGTTATGGAAGACGCTTCAAATAAAAATCCAAGACAGACAGTAGGGTTTATTTCATTGTTAACTTTCTCCTGGCTGGGTGATATTCTCAAACTGGGCAGTAAGCATCCTCTGCAGGAGAAGCACTTGATTCCACTGGAACGTTCATTTCAGGCGAAGGACCTTGTTGATTTCTTGGAGAGAGAGTGGTTAGCAGAAGTGCGATGGTCCCAACAAAAACGAACAAAGCCTCGCCTTTGGAGAGCCATGCTGAGGATAATTCCTTACAGAGAATACATTATTTTGGCGCTCTTGAGAATATTTTATTCACTATCAATGAATCTCCTCCCTTTGATGGTTTGGCTTTTCTTGAAAAGCATTTCTTCAGGTAGCAGTGAAATAAGTTACGCATCCTGCCTGCCTTTGGTGGTCTGTATTTCTGTGACCTCAGTTGCACGAAATATGTTTGGAATGCACGGAGTATTCAAGGGAGAAATGTGTTCAATTAGATTCAAAGTGGCTGTGGTTGGACTGGTTTACAAAAAGGTATTTATATTTATGAAATATGACTAAAAACAATTACTGGGGTTAGTCTTAAAACAACTAAGGAAATACTCGTGGGATTCTTTACAAAGTTTTGGAAAATCAAAGGAACGTAAGATCAGTATTTTCTTTTATTAAATTGACACTATTGCTTTTAACAGGCTAGGGTCGGTGTACGGTTGTTGCTTTCACACAAATGTACATCACAGAGACACGCCATAGGGTCATGTGCTCGCTAGAATGTACTCAGAGCAGTTATTACCGTCTGTATGAAATGTTCCAAAAGCGAAGAAAATCAGTGGCATTGACGATTCTATATTAGCAGTCGAAAATCCGTTAACGGGTTTCTCTGAAGAAGATTCAACCTGTCCTTCAGAATTCAAGAATTTATTGGAAAAGATGGTTGTATATATCACTTCTGTCTAACGTGAAGTATCAAGATACGGAAGGGTACGTAATAGCCTGCGGACACAGATGCGATATTTCCGGTCGTCGCTTCTCCGATCCTCTCCACCCGAAAAGTAGCTCTCGGGTGGAGAGAAGCGACGACCGCAAATACGTCTGTGTCCGCTGGCTAGGTAAGTAACAGAGTGTTTCTATTTCTTTTGTTTTCCTTTTTTTAGATTCTTTCTGTTAACAGATGTGTCTTAGAAGATAGTGTTTCGGAAAACACCATTAATCTTGTTTCCAACGACGCCCAAGTCATTGAGAAATCTGGACGACATGTTTTCAATGCGTCATTTGCAATCCTGGATGTAACACTCGCTTTGATTCTTCTGTGGTACTTAGTAGCCTGGCAAGCACTGATAGGAGTTTTCATCTTCGTATTAGTCATTGTCTATGATACCCTGGCAGCTCATAAATCCGGACGGCTTCGCGCTAAAGCTTCCGCACAAACCGATAGAAGATTGGAGATAATAAAAGAGATTGTTTCTGGAATCCGTTTGGTGAAAATGTACGCTTGGGAGGGGAACTTCAGGGAACTGGTTGCACAATTGAGACGGTAAGTAGTTTCTGTTAGTTTATTGTTTAACTGACAAGAATCAGTCGAACTTTATTAGTTTGAAGTCCAGACGTATGAACAACTTGCACTAAAGAGGAGCTTATGACATGCACTGACTGCATACCAGAGGAGCTCTGCTGCAGAGGCCACATCCTAGTCACCTTGACACTATGGGTCGGTTATTGCTCCCGCAGGGTTCCGACCCAGAGGCCGGAACCCGAGGAGGCACCCTAGATTCCCCCACGTAAAGAAGTATCGTTTTTTCGTTGTATTGCCGGGTAATATGCGAAATCTTCTCGATTTGAAGAAACTAATCGGGCAAGTTGATTTCGGTTAATTTTTCAGCATGCGCGAAAGGCGGTCTTGGGTAATTCTGGTTCAGCAAGCGCGCAACGTAGTATTGGGAAATTCTGGAAACACGTCGTTGACTGGTCAGCATTAGATTCCATCCTCTAGAACTACCTTCCCCTATAACCTACACTCACATGAAATTTCTTAGTCTCTTCAAATTTCTAATCTTCTTATATTTTTCTAACTCAAAATCTCTTCAATTAATTTAAAAAAAAAGGGAGATTAATTAAATATGGCAAAAACGGGATTCGAACCCGAGGTCCTAGGAACTAAAATCCATCGCCAATACCACTACACCACAGTGGATTCGACTGCAATTTATACTTTCGTTTTACATATTTATTATAGTGACAAACCCAACAGTAAACTTATGAAAGCTAATCATTTTGAACTACTGCTAGTTTAAACGAAGTCTTACTTGAGCCGCCGTTTAACAAATCTTTGGACCCAGCCCACATCACTTCCTTAATAGTGAATTATATTATGAAAATAAATGTTTTTCTAGTCCACTCTATATGCTTTCACAACCGTTTCATAAAATATTGAGCAAACTGAAAATGGCCTAGAATTTCTTTCAAGCCTCTCCCTATTGGCTATGCCGCGCCTGAGCTAGACCATATGAAGGAACACAGAGCAGGGGTTGAGCAGGGCAGCAAGTAAATATCTTCCTATAAGCCAGCTTACAACAACGCCTTGGCCTTTTTAGTGCGAAAAAAAAACCAAAAGTTTTAAGTGGATTATCTGTATCATTCTTTAACTCAGGTATAGTCAGTGCATCAGTGCAAGAGAATTACAGCAGTTTTAATGAAATTTTTCGTACGCGAGAGCGCCGTGCGCTAGAAATTTTAAAAGAAATGTTGACGCTCTGAATGATTGAAATCTTATGAACAATTTATAATACTATTTCGCAGAAAAGAAATGTCTCTGATAAGTGTCCGTGGGTTTTTGGCCTCCACTATCTACGCTCTGTTCTTCATCAGCCACACCATCGCAGGGTTTCTATCAGTTACAACACTGGTTTTCACTGAACACAGCCTTACATCTTTCACAGTGTTCACACTATTTTCAGTTATAGCGAATATCAAGTTTGTTGTAACAGTCTTTATTGGAGATAGCCTAATATGGATTGCAGAGTCAATGATTGCATGCAGAAGAATGCAGAGATTGTTAGAAACGAAACCAGTCATGGAATCTTCAATGAGCAAACGAGAGAATATTTCTCCTTTAAAAGTTTATTTTAAAGGCTGGAGGTATACACCACCCTTAGTTAGAACAGAGAGTTTCAAACCAGGGAAACCAGCTTTGATGAGTCTTCAAAAGATTAAGGACGTCCAAGCTGTTCAACCGCAGGCCATGTTAGAAAACATTTCCAGTTTTTGGAACTATACTTCAGATCGCCCAGCATTACAAAACGTTTCATTGCAAGCTTCTAGTGGCCAACTAATAGGTATAACTGGACCAGTAGGGAGTGGCAAAACATCTTTACTGATGACCATCCTGGGAGAACTTCCAATATCATCTGGTCAAATGTCTTGTATTGGAAAAATGGCTTACGTATCCCAAACGCCTTGGGTCTATTCTGGCACGCTGAGAGAGAATGTAGTCTTTGGTATGCCTTTCGTCGAAGAAAAGTTTAATAAGATCATCGAGGTGTGCGACCTAGGAAAAGATCTATCACGATTTCCAAAACGTGATCTCACGGAGATAGGGCAACGTGGAGTAATCCTGAGTGGCGGTCAGCGTGCACGAGTGAGTCTGGCACGTGCAATTTACTCAGATGCTGATATCTACTTACTAGATGATCCTCTCAGTGCAGTGGATGCCAAAGTCGGCAAACATTTGTTTGAAAAATGTATTGACGGATTTCTAGCTGGGAGGGTGCGTATTTTGGTGACACACCAATCACAGTTCCTCCAACATACAGACAACGTTGTAGTACTCCACAATGGTTCCGTAGAGTACCAAGGTACCTTTAGTCACATGGAAAAAGAAACAATGGGAAAGTTTTCTATTGTTTCTCAAAGAAGTCAAGAGACTGATATAGATGATCATGCAAACGTGGTTGGTGAAGATGAAGCTGTCAAGAGCGTCAATATTGTCCATAAACTTGGAGAGAGAGTGGATCTAAAAGAAGAGGAAGAGGACCGAATGGTTGGGACTGTAAAATGGCAATTGTATTGGAAGTACTTTAGAGCCTCCCTTTCAACTCGTCAAATTTTTAGCCTTGCCTGCTTCTTCGTCGTTGTCCAAGGTATTTATAACTACAAAATTAATAGGACAGTTTAATAGGACAGTAAGTGTCATGCGCTTTGGGTGCTGTAATAAGACAGTTGAACTTCAATGGGTTTTTTTGTTTGTTTGTTTCGTTTACTTCTAGAAAAAACTCAAGGGTATCTTGTGCTTGTCTCTGATTTTGATTTTGTTATGATTCAATGGTAAGAGGTTTTCTTGTCCTCGTATTCGGTCTGCAATCATACTCGTAATCAAACACCTAGAGTCTTGCTACGCGGTCGTTCCTTTAATCTCTGGTGCAATTACAGGTCGAACTGGACTCCGCTAAGTCATATTATTATACATTGAACTCACTATCTCTTTTCTGATTGGCCGAAATCGTACACTGAATTTTCGAAATCAGCGCCTGGGACGTCATCTAGCTGCAGATTATACAATAATCAAGTCAAGGACACTCAAGGTCACGGGTAATCATGATTTCTATATGATTTCTAAGGTTAATCATGTCAAGTTCGCGCGCTTTGTGTTGCTTGCCGTCAGTGAAGAAGCAAAAACATGACTTCCAGGTTTTCTTCGTTGACCTAGCAAGACATCGAGAAAGTAGTTGAAGACAAGGACTCACAAAAATCGCTGGTTGCTGATTACGTGAAAGAGAAAAAACTGAGAGAACCTGAGGAAAAGAAAGAGTTAGCACAAACTTTGAAAACATGTTATGTCGAAGCGCGAAAGAAAGGATTCGTTCAATGTATAAGAAAACAATTATTAGATTCGGTTTTTGTGATATTCTGAATAATTAAGGTATCGGTAAGGGTTATCAGCCTCAGCCTTCGGCTTCGGCTGATAACCCCTACCTCGACCTTAATTATTCTGGATATCACAAAAACCTCATCGAGTAATTGTTTATTAAAATTATACACTTCATGTCTTTATCTCTCCTTTTATGACTTAGGAAACTGTTGCTTACTAGGTTCAGGGGTGTGTGTTGAGTTTGTGTTTTTCCAATTTTACCGCCTTCTGTAACGCCACTTTCCTCCATGCTATGATCTCGAGCTGATCACGAGGGGAATATAGTTACTCAAATTTATCACGATAAAGGTACATTTTATTTTAGTCAAGGCCACCTGACTAAGAATCAACCAATGGCTGTCCCTGTTTAGTTGAGTGAAAGTCTAGGGATATAACAGTTTACCTGAGTAAATCACTTCTCATAAACTAACAATGACTAGACACCACTGGATCAAATACACAATTTGTTTGTTTGTTTGTTTGTTTTTGTTGTTGTTTCAGTTTTATGGATCGCTCCGTATTGGTGGGTTTCACGAATGATCGACATGCCAAAAGAAAAACAGAAGGACTTTACAACGCTCCTGGTGTATGGATCCATTGTCACATTGTCCTTGGTGTTTACAATTGTATCCTCGTTTTGCTTTTATCTGACAGCTTTAAAGGCATCAGAAAATCTTCATAACAAGATGACTAAAGCGGTTATTGAAGCACCAGTCATCTTCTTTGACACAAACCCGGTTGGTCGTATCTTAAATCGCTTCTCTAAAGACATTGGTAGTATGGACATTATGCTTCCACCACAATTTCTCCTCGCAGTGCTATGTTGTCTTTATTTTTGCAGTGCCACCATCCTGTCTGCTGTGGTAAACGTGTGGTTATTCATCATTTGTGTTCCACTGACCATTTTGTTTATCTACCTTGCAAAGTATTATTTGAAATCCTCTCGGGAAATCAGACGGCTGGAGGCAGTGACTTCTAGCCCTGTTTATTCACTCATTGCCGATACCATAGCAGGATCCGAAGTAATTCGCTCATCGAAGATGGAAGATGATCTCCTGCAGAAATTTTTCAAGTATGTAACTTAATTTGCTCCTGAATGATTTGCTCCTGAACGGCGTTCGGTATGTTATGCTGACGAATATGGGTATAACTTTAATTCTTAATTTTCATTTTTGTAAGCGTGTCGACCAGTTAAAACAATTGTTCTAGGTGTACATAGTATTTGAAATGACTATAGTTTAACTTTTCCTAAAGTATGATTAACTTACCGTAGACCAGCAGGCGGGTATGTTTCTATTAAACACTCAGTGATTCATAAGAACTGGCAATAAAAGAAAAAAGAGAAGAACACATTCCTTCTGTGTCAATTATTTTAGGTACCAAGACAAAAACACATCAGCCTTAATAATGCTACTGGCATCAACACGCTGGCTTGGGCTCCGTGGAGATTCAATAAGCAACGTTCTGGTGACGTCCGTTTCAGTTGGAGCCATGTTAGCGACACAAAGCCCAGGTGGGTATCTTTATCGTCCTCGAGAATAAGCTACTTTATTTGAAAAGGTTTTTTTTTTCAGCATCTAGTTATCCCTAAAATGATAGTTAATTTGTTTTTTAAAATGATCTCAAGCCCTTTTTTCCACAATGAAACCAAGACGAATGCCTGGCGGTGCCTCATTCTGGAAAATCGGCTAACTTGGTGTCAGAAACAAAGAGTCGTTTTCTATAAGCCAAGATGCGCCAATATTGAATGCGTTTGTAACAGAAACAACGACAAATATATTAAAAGTATATAGAGCGACAGTATCAAGCCAAATAAAGATTTTCCTAAGGTTGACGTAGTCTCCGCCTGGTAATATGAAATGAAAAAGAGAGCGAAAAAAGCATTGAATTGTGAGACCAGTGAACTCATGTTTCACAGTCCACCAGTATATTTTTAACAGAGATGTCGTACTATAAGACGCGCGTCAGAGGTTCCCTTAAGTTTTTATACCCCATTGATACAGGAAAGTGATAGGAAAACTTAGTCGTGACACTGGAGGTAGAACCATTTTCAGGATCACGGATCCCAACAAGTTCCTCAAGGGATAAACTTTCTGAGGGTTAATATTTCACTAAGTCTGTATGTCCGTCATAATTAAAAGGATAACCACTGGATTCTGATGCTTCATGAACTAAAGCGGCTAAGCCTTCGTTTGCTTTCCTATCAGCTGTAATAGGTACATATTTTGTCTTTCCTCTTAACCCGTTCTTCCGATTAAGTGTTACTCTGTCTGGTCGGCTACTAATTCTCGGAAAGTAGAAGAAAACGTTTGTGTTTGTTTGCAGCGCTGGCTGGCATGTCTCTGACATTCGCACTGGAGACGTTAGAGGCTGCACAGTTTGGCATTTACGTCGCTTCGGAGACAGAAAATCACATGACATCAGTGGAAAGAGTATTTACCTACACGGAAATCGATCCAGAGCCTGGGTATTGCACAGAAACCCAACCTGCTCCTGAAGACTGGCCAACAGCGGGCTCCATGGCATTACATGACTTGTCGCTTACATATTTAGAAGGTGCTCCCGCAATTTTGAACGGCATAAACGTTTGCTTCGCAGCTCAGGAAAAAGTTGGAGTAGTAGGTCGCACTGGAGCTGGAAAATCGTCTTTGGTGGCTGCTTTGTTCCGAATGCCAGAGCCAGAAGGCAGGGTAAGAATAGTCTTCTTCTTGTCTTTTTGTTACGATCTATCGCGATGTTATAGTTGGCAGCAACATGTTTTGGTGTTGCTGGAAGCTCTTGACAACGCTTAAAAAAGACCAAACTTTTGAGTCAAAAAGTCTCGACATTTATGTTTCGAGCTGGGTGTTCGTTTTCAAAGCTTTCCCAGCCATTCTCGTCCCAAGAGCCCTGATCCTTTTGGCCAGTGCCCGGCACGGATCTAGAGCTCTTGCTGGGACCAGGATAACACGCCGGCGCAGTAGTCTCACACTTTTGTAACCGTTGGTAACCCTTTTCACTTCAAAGTTTTGATGCTGCACGGAAAGTCTGAAGCCCTTGATTTGGGGAGTTCCGGCATCTACTGTAGCTTTCGATCTGCTGCGTTCATCATAAGGATCAAAGCCTTTGGGACGAGAATGTTGTGCACTCGACTGCGCATTAATTGTCGTATCGTTAGTAGTGTAAGTGTAGTTTTATCCCAAAATGCGCATGCGTGCGAGAATTATGTATAGTAAATGCCAGAAAAATAAAAAGCTGGTTGAAATGCATTACATTTGCTTTCACAGGTGATCATAGACAATGTCAACATCAAAGATCTCAATCTGCAGGCGGCTCGCAGGTCCATGGCTGTTATAACTCAGGATCCTGTCCTCTTCAGCGGCAGCCTCAGAAGGAACCTAGATCCATTCTCTTTGTACGAAGATCATGACATGTGGAGTGCCTTGGAAGAAGTACAGTTGAAGACCCTGGTGCGAGATTTACCTGAACAACTAGAGTACAAGTTGAAAGAATCTGGGACCAATTTCAGTGTTGGCGAGCGTCAACTGGTCTGTTTAGCGCGTGCGCTGTTACAGAAAAGCAAGATTATAATATTGGATGAAGCCACTGCTAATGTGGATTACAAAACAGATCGTCTGATTCAAGAAGTTATACGCAACAGATTTCAAGATTCTACAGTGATTACCATCGCCCATCGCTTGAACACCATCATGGACTATGACAAAGTCTTGGTCATGGATCGGGGAAGAGTGGTGGAGTTTGATAAACCTGACGTCCTGCTACAGATTAAAAATGGTCATTTCTCTCGCCTTGTTCAGACTTACGAAAGGACTGCAGATCACTGATTGATACACTTGTATGTATTTTCTTTAACTTAGGATCAATGCTTTGGAGAAGGAAAGTAGGAAACACATACTTACCACTTCAATTGATCTTGTTACTAATAAAGAACGACGGGTTAGAATTTAATTCGGGAGCCATCTTTTAGGAGGGAAAAAAATATTTAGGTCGCGCGAGACAAGTTCCATATTAAATAAATTTTTTATATCGGCAAATTTTCTTAAGAAAACATCTTTTAAGACGTACGTCTATTCAGGCTGACGATCAAGCTCAAACTCACATCAATAGATAAGAGTTTAACAACCATTTTTTACCACATGTAATGCCTTAATTGACAATTTTATGTAAAGAAATGGTAACGTGCAGAGCGTTTAATCATCGAGTTATGACTGTACGTTTGTGGTTAGTTGATTAGGGTATGAAAGATCCGTAAGGGTTGCCGAGAGCATCTTTTGCTACCTTAGTGTTCGGCAAAATTTCCCATGTGCATCCCACGGAGGGTTGGGGGAGGGGGGGGTGACTCTATTGCTTTCCAACTACGTTTCTTGAAACATTCCGCGTGCCAGTGTGACGTCATATAGTAACAGGCGAGAGCTTCAGGTCACTGTGTAAATTAGCGAGGGACACCACAGTCATTAGAGCAACTGCGGAGAAAAGAAGAAAAGCTAGCAAATATTGCTATATATCGCTAAAATAAATTTGACCATAAGTGTGTGAGCTTTGGTATTACTTTTATCCGCTTGCGTAAACCGTTTGGTATTTTGTGTCAGTAAATGTGTAATTTTGTTAATTTGAGTCGCGGGCCTTGTTGCGGGTTGAGGGACTAGCAAGGGCATCAAAACTTGATTAGTTCTTTTTTTTTCTCTAAAATAGGCAACGTCTAGTCTCCAGAATAGGAGGTTCGATGCAGAGATCACACACGTTTATATTTCATATAATCTTTTGCCGATTAAATCGACCGTAGTTAATATCAATCCCCTCGAGTGTGGGCCTCTGTTAATTTTTTACATTCTCCATCAAGTTCAGTACAGCCAGTTTGATCGATTATCCGTACATCAATCGGCCCATTGAACACGAAAAAAACGCGAAATAGCTTTGAAATACTTGTTCATTTGCTAATTTTGCTCAAAAGTCACTTTTTGAATTCATGATAAATACATCTCCACCGGCTTCAAGCAGTGTCTGTGGCAGAGAAAAATGGTTTTAATATAACAAATTTACTTTTAATCACCAAAATATGAGTGTTGTCGTGGTACAGTGGTCAAGGAGTTGTTTGCACGTGCAGATGAACTAGGCGAAGCCGTTTTCTGTTTCTTTATTGTACAATTTTTTTTTGTAGTTTTTGTTTTTTAATCCTATTTTTCCCTTTGGCTGGTTTCCCTTTATTCTTACTGCTGACCCTTTACAGCTTTGCCTTGCGAGTTTTTTGCGATAACGTATTTCTAGTAAAGGCTGATTGTGTGGTAGTTTTGATTTGTCTTAAATTGCTTATAAATTGTTGCTTACTGCCTAATCCTTCAAGGTAAATTATCACTGTGGTTGTTTTGCTGTTGTCATCGTGTGGAGTTGCGCTTGCAGGCATTTTTGAAAATTGTTTGGTAACTAGTTCCTCACTGGAGATAAAAAAACACTGTGCTGTAGTTACGTTTGATGCGCGAAGCGAACTTTGAAGGGATTTATATAGGGATCCACTGGCTCTGAAGTGAAACGTGACGTCATACTGGTACGGGGACTGAACCACCAATTTTCTTGGAGACACCTCCCCCCCCCCGGGTACATCCTTAACTCGATATTTGCACAGCTGAGGCATAACAGGAAAGCAAATCATATTCACGTTAAGTTGATCCGAATAACTGTAAAATAGCAAATATAAGTATGTGCAATCAAATGGTGAAGAGTGAAATTATTCCCTAATTTCACGAGTATACCATCCGATTACCCATTAATATCACAGGTGACGAATCACGTTTGCAATCGTGGATTTTTTACTTGTTTATCCTGTTTTTATCGTATCGATAGAGAACACCACGCTCTTAAAAGTTTAGAGCTTAAATTTGGCTTAAGTTTAGAATTTTCACTGCTCTAAGCAAATCAAATCGCAGAAATTTCTCGTGTAGTAGTATATTATAAGTAACTGGCCAACGAGACCTCCCCTTAACTGACTGCAGGGTAAAAATTCAACCGTAATATTTGGGCGGATTTATTCAGACTCTATTCAGGCTATTTAAGTCCTGAGTGATTTGGACATTTAATGTTAAAACGCCTAATCAAGCCTTTCCAACATAGCTGAAGAGAACTAAGATTAGAAAGGCTAACCGGACTTGTTATAGACTGTAATGTTTGCTCTCTTGTTGTTTGTAATGTCGAAGACGACATTTTTAGAGGGAGTGTTAGTAGCGTTTAGGAAGTAAGACAGCATGATCCCTGCCCGGTCAAGTACTCTTACAACCTGCATCAGTATCATGGGGAGTAGAAAGCACGGTGTTCCTGGTTTTATCTGCTGGTTAGCTATGTTTGATGTTTTTAAAGAAAAAAATACATTGTAGTGTTCCCCTATTTCCCGCCTGATTCTCTGGGACCCNTCTTGTTGTTTGTAATGTCGAAGACGACATTTTTAGAGGGAGTGTTAGTAGCGTTTAGGAAGTAAGACAGCATGATCCCTGCCCGGTCAAGTACTCTTACAACCTGCATCAGTATCATGGGGAGTAGAAAGCACGGTGTTCCTGGTTTTATCTGCTGGTTAGCTATGTTTGATGTTTTTAAAGAAAAAAATACATTGTAGTGTTCCCCTATTTCCCGCCTGATTCTCTGGGACCCTGAGGAACCTCGCCAAATAGGACTCAAATAGGCCATTTCCGACTCCAAAAGGCCTCACTTTCAAAGCGAGGCGAAGTGCGGTAATGAGATTTTTTTTGCATGAGAATAAAAAATCATTTTCATATCAATGGCTTCGCACTTAGCCTCGCTTTGAAACAGAAGCTTGGGCAACCCAGAAATTCAATGGCCTGTTGCATTCAGGACTTAATAATGTTATTGCGTACTAATACAATGCCTCATCAATTGATGAGCACCTACTGAAGATGGCCTATGGCCTTGTTATCAACCTATCCTAAACTCGCCCCATGTACTGGATTTCAGTCTTTGTCAGTAGAAATTAGATTCTGGATTCCACCTGTTAGTGGAATTCCGTAATCCTTAAGCAGTATTCCGGATTCCAAAGCCCAGGATTCTTGTATTTCACAAGCAAACATTCCCTGAGTCCGGTTTCCACCAGTTCCGGAATTCGTGTTCCCTTACACGGCGGTCACTAAACGGTATGCGGCGGCGCCGCTGTGTCAGGGTATGGTTTGCAGGGTATCTAGTCTCAAATAGAGTGAACACGTTAACTATATTTAGCGTCTTAAAGGGAGTATCTTTTGGACCAGCATCCTTCAAAAGCGTGTAAAGGTTGTGATGTTGTGACTTATGATGTTAACTTATTTAACAATTATTCGCCGAAGGAGAAGTTAATATTGTTGAATAATCCCCGAGACGAAGTCGAGGGGATTGTTCAAAGATAAGTTATTTTATGTTTAGACCTCACTTTACGCATAAATTCCAAAATATCTTGAAATTCCTCTTCTAGATTTTTGTGAAACTTCGAACAACGCTAAAACAATTGTCAAATCGTTGTCATGTGATGTTAATTTCGAACGCAAAAAATGATATAATAATAACTTTCAGTCCAAGTGTATTCCATGGCTTTTCAATAATGGCAGGCGCGGATCCACACCGGTTTCTACCGTTTTACGGAAAGCGGTCAGGTATTTCATTATCAATATATTTTTAATAATAATAAAAAACTTTCAAGTTGAAATTTAGAAAATAGTTTGGACTCGCCTTGCTCCCATCCTTAATACAACACGGAATGACGTCCGCGAATACAAAGACAAGTTCCATGAACACCACGTGTTTTGGTTCCGGATGAGTAAGTCCTAATGGATTTAATTAACATGTAAATTCACCTGCATACAATACAGAATGTGCTGTCTTACCGCCTGAGTTGTACAAGGTGAGTTTCGTCAATTAGTCTTCATGTAAGAAGGAATTAGTTTTCATTTAGAACTGCAACTGTAATGCCGGGTCGTTTTTTTTATAGAGGAGCATAAAATCAGGTTTCATAACTTTTCACAAAATTCTTCTTGTCGGATGAGCAGCGCGCCAGTACACAGTCGAATTATCTGCCATCAAAATTGACGTTCAGAACTACAGTAAAGCTAGAATGGGACGTATATAGGCAAAATTAGTGGGGAAGCTTAGAAGAGATTATTGCATTCGAGTTACTTCAAAAAGGTGCATTGCAAACAGTACATATACTATGTTTGGTAACACTCGAGGGGATTTTGAAAACATTTAAATATCCACAACCATTAGATGAAAATTAAATCCCTTATTATAGCCGTGATCTGAGACAAATCGACATCTTTTCATTCAGCATACATGTTGACTACTGTCGAAAGAATTCGAAAGGACGGATATCTTTAATACATAGTCGGGTATCTGGTTAGTCAGCCGAGCTAAGCTACTCATCACCATGACTCTGCAATTGTTTCATTCCTAGGTCTGGGTTGCAAGAAATCAATCATGCCTGCATAATTTGCTGTAGTTACACCTAATTGCAATAACGCCGTTATAGAAAAATGCAAAAAAGAAAAAAGGAAAATGTAAAAAGCCAAATAGAAATTAATCAGACTTTAACTGACAAACCGCTCTGGGGTTCATCAATTTGCAACCTGTGCGTACAGCAGTTGCAAATTGATGAACGCCACTGCTGCACATGAATGCATCCTATAATGGTTTATTAGTAAGCCTAATTAATTCCTATTGGGCTTTTCCCTTTTTCGTTTTAGTATTTTGCTAAGACAAAATTATCGCCATTCGGTGTAGTAAACTAAATTTCAAAGCAAGCCTTTCGTCAGGTACCCGGGGTACCCAGTGACTGTTTTCTATAAAATATCTGTTCAGA